AGCCTGGATTAGTTGGGGATAAAAGCATCGTTCCACCCTCAGGGTCACTTGAGGGGTAAGGGCTAGATAACTAAATCAGGGGAATAACCGCTGCCCCCAATGGCTCCCTCAGGCCGTTCAGGACGCACAAAGTCAGCCTTTATCCTTTCAGCACGCTCTCGCACCTTAGGTGTGGAGGATAGCAGAAGGGTTTGGTGAAGGGACAGAAAACAAAAGTGGGAAAGGGAAAAAAAGACCATGCATAATTAGTTGAGTCGAGGGCAAGAAGTCCCAAGGTTGGGGAGTTCCCCATCATTGGGTCCCAGTCTCGCCTCCATAGCCCCCCCCACGACAACAACGGGCAAGGGATTGCGGGGGGGGGGGGCGGGGGGGGGGCAGGACGTGAGGAGACGCTACCTTGCCGCTGCGTTAGTGACAGTTTGTGTGCCTATGGCTGTCCCGCTCCTCAGTACTGGGAATATAAATGACCTGATGTAAACGAATATGAAAGCGTGTGCCCTGATAAAAAGCGAGCGCTAGCCGACGGTGTGTGATCCATTATTGAATGTTCTTCGTCGTCAGTATAGTTTACTTTTTTTTCTGTTGCGTGTATGTCCATTATTTCGTCTGCATGTATTTTGTTTTGTTGCTTTAATGTTTTTGATTAGTGTCGCGATTAATATAAATATTTGTTTCATATGTATATGGGGTATGTGTGATTCTCCCCCTTACGAATAAAAATCAGTATTAGAAATCACGAGGTACTAAATATGGAGTACTTTATAAGCAAGAAAAAGTGTCACTTGCCAAGAAACAAATATCAATTTTAGAAATACACAAGAGAGAATAAAGCCTGGCTGACATTTCAGGTGTTGGTATTGTTGGAAGGTGTGCAAGTTTTCAGCCGATTAACCTGGAAAATCACTCAGGAACTTAGATAGACTGCTGCGTGCCATAGGAATTCAAAACTTGATTGATCAGCCATAATAACAAAGAAAGTTGTATAAGGGTATTTTAACAGTTCATGGAATTGGAGTACCCTTCTTTGACCTTAATCTGTTCTAGTTGGGAGTACTATCAGACTTCATATGAACATAGGAAAGAAAAAACCAATTTTTTCATTTTCCATTTTATTCTGTGCCAAAGAAAAGGGAGGTAGGACATGCAAGCCATGCACTAAAAATTAACAAAAATTGTCAATGTTTATGTAAGTCTACCAATAATTCCTTATTCGACGAAGGATTAGATGTTAATACAGGCCTTTTGGTATTGAGTAATTTTCTTAGTTAAAAAGGGGGGGGGGTATTACATCAATAGCACTGACTAGAAGGAAATAGTGGAGGGAATATGTGGTCCCCTAAACAGATTGTAAGCCTCTAAGAAGTACTAATTGTTCAAGGAAACCATACAATTTTTATCAAATATTATAAAAAGTGAAATCCCTAAATGTGGTTGTCCACCGGATGAAAATGACAGGGACCACCATGGCAGGACTGTCTTTGAAATGAATGCTGTGAACAACTGCCCCATCCTGTTATGCTTAACTTTTATGGAATTGAAAATAAATAAAATTTAACACTTTCTTAATCACCTGGTTTGAGATCCTGAACATGCACCAAATATGTACTATGTTAGTTTGCATGCAATATCAAAATTCCTAAAGTGCATGTAATACTGAAGAATTCAAGGTCATTCAGCCAATTCTGTCTCATGTATAGCATTAATTTAGTTATTCTACCAACCAAAAAAACTGAATCAGGGACAGTCCCTGAAAGTTTTCCACAACCTTGAATTAAAGCAAATTACCCGCTACTTTCTTAAATTAGACCTCTTCCTGGAACACCATTACTGAAAACTCTGCTCTGACAAAGTTACCTGAAAATAAATGAACTTCCTTGAAAATGGTTGTTCTCGGACATGCTCAGTCTCATAGGTTTTCTTAACAATTTGGATTCAGTCAGGAGTCTCGTCACTATTATTTCAGACTTATCAGCAATAGCATCATTTCAAAGGAAATTAATTCCTAGGAGTGCTATGGCAAGTACACTTATTCCACTGGTCTTGCGAGAGATCTATATTGCTCGAAACGGGCATTCACCTATTAAAAAAAGAAAGTAATAGCTGTCATGATAAGGCTAACAAAGATTCCCATAGATGGATTATAGTTTGATCAGTTCGCCCTAGTTTTGACATCAAATAATTCAGATGCAAATTGATTTCAGATACCTATTGAATCATCACATTCACAGAAGTGCTAACAAGTCCTCTTCATTAATAACAACCATTATTGGTACTAAACTCAAACAGCCAACTTGCAGTCCATTATCCGAATCCAACATCCTGTAAAGGAATGTGCAATTTAGCATTGTCACATATTAACAGGACATTTAAAAATTTTCCTTGCTATCAGATATGTTTGCTTTTCACGAGTCTTCAAACAATGTAGGGTAAGGGTTATAAAATCATCATCAAACCACAATCTATACATTCAAAGATTTATATTAAATATTTGATGAACTAAGGGATTTTTAGCTACCTTCATGTGTGATGAATTTTTCCCACAGTACAGTTTATCTTCAGCACTGAAAAATAAAAAATACTGGTATGAAACACTGCAAACTGAAACCATTCTTTACTACAAAAAACATTCCTCAGAACGCTATGGGATGTTTCAGGGTCTTCATATAATCAGACTTTGGAATCATCAGTAAAATAGCTAACTATTATAATTTTCTATTTCTGTTACTCACCCGAACCCCCTACAGCAAGATTTGTCTGAAAATCAATAAGGCCAACTTGCCAGTGCATTATTAGACCCAAAATTCTTGAAGTGGACTAGAGGAAACTTCAGTCTGGACTAATCTGGTAAAAAGAAAAAAGTATAAGTAGCAAAACCCACAAATATTAGTTTGGAAGGATTTTCATCAGTAGTTTATCAGTTCGCCATAGTTTTGGCCCATCAAATTGTTTCAGATGCAACAATTTCAGATACCTATGAATCATCATTATAAAACAAATAAAAGCCTTCTCAATAAAACTTACCTTTGTCCTAAAATCAGACACCTGGCAGTACATCAGTCTTTACACACTGTAAATATGTTCAATAATATTCTACCTATACCAGGTAAATTTACTGGACAATTCACTTAACATAAGATATAATTGTTTTTCACAACTTTGCAAAACAATGTAGGTAAGGTATATGAATCATCATCAAAAGCAATGCATTGGCCAACAGTTATTATCATTAGCGTAATTTTCAATTTGCTTTAAAGGAGTTCACTACTTAGAAAACTTGTAGGTCTAAAACACCAAACAACTATTACAATATTAGAATAATGTAGGTAGTAAAGTCTATATTGTAACGTTCAGAAAACTTATATGCTACAATATTTCAGCAATCACTAAAGTAATGATAATCTTGCTATCTAGTTGTAAAACGGAGTGAAATGTGCCATGTGTTATAAACTATTCTCCAATACTTGTTTCTATAGACACTAGTGGAACATTTCTATTGCAGTAACTATACCAAGTCTAGACATGCAACATGGTAATGTGGACTATCTATGCTTGCTAATAAACTAGGATTTCATATAATGAATGCACATTTAAATCTAAGTAATGTTGATAGATCTTGCGATAACAAATTGCATTTTTCATTGTGCCTTACTCACACAAGGGAAATACAGCTGGGAAGATATGCTGTACAAGGAAAAATTGAATGGATTAGCACAAAAAACCACCATATCAGTTTAGAAGGGTGTAAGAATTTTGTCAGTTCGCCCTAGTTTTGGCATCAAAATATTTCAGATGCATTGATTTTTCAGATACCTACTGAATCATCATCTATAACCAAGTGAGGAAACTGCCCATCAGTGTTTATACCTTTGTCCTATAACCAATCGACGACTGCAGCATTCATCTACTACGAGGCGAATCCCTGTAAAAAAAAAAAAAAAAAAGTTCCAATCAAGTATCTTTCTCTGTACCAAGCACCAATACTGAGCTAAGTCCTTGACATCAGAATATATTGGCTGTGCATGATTTTTCAAACAATGTAGTTAAGGATAAAGAATCATCACACATAATCTACAAGGTCATTATACTTGCAATCAAAGTCTTACCCAAGTTCTTTAATTCATGAGCACAAATTTCTATTGGACACAAGAGGTTCTTTCCTGAACAGAATCTGCAGGCAAGCGCCTTAGTTATCTTGAGAGAAGTTCCTCCAATGGATTATACAGTCCATTCCCCCTGTAAAATAAAAATGTGTGAAAGTCAATGCCAAAGATAATGCACTTGTTTAACTTTTCAAGAAACACTCCTCAGAACGCTATGGGATGTTTAAGGGTCTTCATATAGTCGATTATTGGAGTCATCAGTAAAACAGCTACTATATTATATTTATGTAAGCTTTACTCACCACGTAAGGAAAAGGCCGGAAAACAGTCTGGTAAAAAAAGAGAAAAACAAGGTTAGCAACTTGTTACAAATACTAGTCAGAGGGATGAAAAAGCTTTATCAGTTCGCCCTAGTTTTGACATCAAATTATTTAAGATGCAATTGATTCAGATACTATGAAATAAATCACATTCACAAGAAGCTTGATAAAAAGTCTTCTTCATTAGTAACATACCAGTATTGTCCTGAGATCAATTAGCCATCTTGAACCAGTATAGAATCCAACATTTACTGTAAAACGAAGTGCAATTAGCATTGTTACATATTAACATAGTACATTAAAAAAAAAATTCTTTGATATCAGAAAGTTTGCTTTTCATTAGTCTGCAAACAATGTAGGCTAAGGGTTAAAAAATCATCATCAAACCACAATCATACTTTCACAAATAATCATTTTATAACAAGTGGCAAAAAGGTGACTTTCAGTACTAACCTACTTGTCCCTTTAAACAGTCACCAGCTGAAGTACAGCCCCGTTACAAGCCAAAACCTGTAAACAAAGTTTAAATCAATATTCTATTTTTTTTTTTCCTTCTACCTGATGTATTTACGAGACCATTATCTTATTCAGAAAATGTTGCTTTTCATGATTGTGTCAAACAATGTAGGTAAGGGATAAGAATCATCATTACACCATAATCTAAAAATTAGTATATTTCGAATATTACCCAAGTTTATGAAGACTTCCCCGTTTGCTGGAGGAAAAACCCTGACATAAAATCAAAACTTCAATACATGGAAAATAAAGGGGAGTACTTAAACCATACCCCCAGAAATCCCTCTGTAGTATTCAGAATTTAGGGGCTATTTTTGGTTTTATCAATATTCCCATATATTTGTAATCTTAGGAACAAGTGACAATTAGAAGATTCTGCATGACAGAATACTTAATGCAGCTTTGTATTTTCACAAACCTTACAGAATTATAGGATGTTAAAATGGTTTTAATTGACAGAAATTGACAGAGATAAGCAATTCAGATATATCAAAAATTTCAGATACTTTGCAACACATTTATAAAATAATCACCCACGTTAAATCATTCAAATAAAAGCTATAACAATGGGCGAAATGATAAAATGCACCAGTAGTAACGGGTTTTTTTTTTTTTTTTGGTTATAGTAATATACCACTTCCACCCCTTCTAAGGGGTTAAAGCAATTATCAGCCAAATTGAATAAAATAGCTCCAGTTATTTCTAAAAGCCATACACTAAAAAAAATAATCAGCATGAGACAGCAGGAATGACTAGTTCACATTCAAATCATGGAACCATGTTCTGATGAATCATTTAAATGCAGTAGAGTTACTGTAGTGGTGGGGGAAAATGACTTAAGGGACATTAATAGTTCCAGTACGAACTGTGAATTACATATTACCTTTAAATGCAAAGTTCTCCATAGACTACCTCTCCAATGACGATACCAGACTGTTGGCCACTCACTGAAAAATATAGATGTAGACATGTATAATGCAGTGCCAAAATTTAGCATTCAGGAAAATTAAGAAATTCCCTCAGAAACGCTATGGGATGTTTTATATGGTCGTCATTTTAGTCGAATATTGGAATCATCAGTAAAACAGATGGACAGCTTAAATTTAGAAAAATATAGGTGTACTCACCATGCATTCGTGGGAACTGCAGGAAAACACATTGGTAGATAAAAAGAAAAAAATTAGCAATAATACCAACCCAAGTGTGGACAGATTTAGTAGGTTCAACAGTTCGCCCTAGTTTTGAATCAGAATATCTTCAGATGCAATTGATTTCAGATACCTATGATATCATCCACTTAGAATAATATCATAATTTTTTTTTGTTTTTTTTTTTTTTTGTTTTTTTTTTTGGATCAAATGACATCTTGTAAGGCAACTCAAGATTTGAAGCTACCCCTTCAGCTAAAAATCCTGTAAGAATAGTTATAATCAATATTCCATCGGTAACACACAACAGACATTTACAAATAATTTCATCAGATATATTGCGTTTTTCATGATTTTCAAACAAGTAGGTAAGGTATAGTGATCATCATTCAAACCAAGAATAAACTTAAAGCGAGAATAATATAAGAGACTGTCTTAAAATTAAGGATAGTTTGTCATTCTTTTCACTGCGTCCTAATGTTAAAGGGGTGATGAACTAAGTTTTGGTAAAATGCAACGCTCTGATAGCCAATACAGTCATATCAAATACCTATGATTGAAGAGGAAATTTGTAGATTCACAGCTCAAGTAGCATGTATATTTAAAAGTGTAGTTAAAAGTATAGGAATCAAAATGAATCTTTCCATACTACTGAAGAACTAACCATAATCCATGTCCGGAGGGAGGAGATACACGAGTTTAATTCACCATCAAGGAGATCTTCAAATACAGGTTCCTTGGCAAAAATTCCCTTCCACTGAAAAAATTTGAATTGAGAAACTATGTAAATATAAGGAAAAGCAGCAATTAACATTTTAGTACGGTAATACTTCAATTATAAACTTTCCAGTGTGTTCAAGATGAGAAATGTATAGTTGTATCAGACATGTTCAGCTAGCATATATGATGCAGCTAACAATCTGAATTATTCTTGCAAGGTATAGAACACAGTTAGTATAGACTAAAAGGGCAATGTAACTTGATACATAGTTAGGTCTATAATGAAAACATAAAGAAACCAAAGTGCTAGTACATTTTTCACGTCTACACTACAAACACATTATAAAAGGTCCTCACCTTAGCATTTTGTCGTCAAAGGCACACTGACTACCATAACCTACTGACAAGAAACTACCATCTTATACATTGTCAACATCAAGGAATATAAATGTACTTTGAATTCTTATCAACAAATGTTGCAACAAGGTCTTAGGGTATGTTAGTATGACGATTTTTTCAAGTATCGTAGTTCCTTCCATTGTGAATTATGGTTTTTTGTTTTCGGTTTTATTATTTTGCGATTGTTATTTATTGTCTTGATCACAAAAATTTAAACGGTATCCTATGAGATATGTAATTATCATAATTATTGAAAATAGCCAACAAGCAGACCCTCCCCTAAAGCTAATGTTTTAATTTTTTTTTGTTGCCCTGTCTTATATGGACTTTGTCTGGAGCCACATGGTCTCAGATGTATTAAGATTTTCTGTATAGAAAGATCCACTAAGCCACAGCAAGTAGGTTATCAAAGTAGCACAAAGGTTTCATAGCCCACATGGCTTTCATGGCAGAGTCATACTTGGTGCCTATATGTGCATCACAAAAAAGTGTTCAACTCGCTTATGGAACACTGTAAATAATTTGGCCTAGTTCTGTAGATGAAAAAGGGTGGACATTTTTAGAGCTAAATACATTAGACGGGGCCTGTCAATTCACTGAAAAGCTGGTCCAAAAGCATTATGATAATACTTTAAATATTAAGCAAGCTGAACATCTAGTGAGAAGCATGCTGATGCAAAGCTGCAATCCTGGTTCTTGCCAAATACCAATTGGTCACTTATTTTGTTTGTAAAACGAGATGAAACAACACACAAGGCATTTGTCATAACCAAATTTTCACATTCCTTATTCTAGCACAGCTTCATATAGGCAAAGCTAATGCTCAAGCTTCAATTGGCTGTGCTAACCCATAACAGCCACCCCCTTAAAAAAAAAAAAGTCATAGCTAAGATTTGTATATAAATCTCTAAATACTGTAGTAGATAGAAATTGGCACCATTGTGCCTCAAGAAAATCCTTAGGAATTTCAGAACAAGATGACAGTTAACTAATCTTAATTCACAATTATAACTGATTGTTAGCAAAAGGATGAAACCAAATGTAAATGTTCCTTTAGTTACTTGCACAGGTACACTTGGCAGAAAATGTGCAATAGCTGGACATTATCCAGGTAATATTGTATGACAAATGCCATTACCTCCGACATTCCCAACTTTATCAGAAGCTGGCATTCCTGAATGCCAGCTAATAAATAACTTGATCTGCTGAGAACAGCTAATACACATGGTGACAAAGCTATGGCACCGTCAAGCAGGAAGTTCCGATACACGTAGCAGGACTCCACTCCAAAGCAGCTGGTGGGTTAGGCCAGAAATCGAGACTATGAACGCCG